TGTGTGTGTGTGTGTGTGTGTGTGTGTGTGTGTGTGAGTGAATTTTTAGGGTTTTTGCTTGGGAACCTTCCTGATGAGCATTTCTCCCATATGAATATGGGGTCAGTGACAAAGGGTAGGTACCGCAGTTCTATAATAATATCTGCAGTCAAGAGATATATTTAAGGAAGGACAGCACATCCTTGTTATTCTGCTACATTAGCTGTTTCGTGGCACCTAAGGAATCTATTATTTTTGCTTCTATTTTAATGGAGACTTGTCTGGTAAAATACAATGTAGAAGATATTGCTGTTGTGACTCTATCACATAAATGCACCATGCGTTTGTTCGGTTATTACTTGACTTATATTTTCAATTGGTTTACTTCGATTCATTCTTTGATCCATGTCCTTTTTTTCTGTCCTCAGGTCTGGTGATGCTGCTGCAGGATCCAGATCCTCTCGTGCGAGTGAAAGCCGCTGAAGCCATGGGTCATTTTCACTGATGTTACCTCCACTCTGCAGCCAATCAGATTAGTCTTTGATTTCAAGTTTGTTGCTTTGGATAAGGAGGAAGCTTTGAATTGTTGTTCTGTAATAAGCCTCGAAAGGTTTTTATTATTGACCAAAGACTGTGCACTAGTTCTGTAAGAAAAGAGAAGAATAAAAAGGAGAAGACATTTATTACACTTACGTTCAGCACTTTAAGTACTCTCAGATATACGGTTTGTGATTCCTAGCCCGGGTTTTTCACCAGCGGCAGTTTTTAATGTGAGGTACGTACCTGTTAAAAACTAGAAGGTTGTAGGCGAGTACACTGATATTGCTGATATTACTTGCTTGACCATTCCTCTAGCGTGCTAAATGCGTACCACCACTTTAAAGCATTAAATCATTAAAAACGTATGTAGGATGAATCAATATGTTTTAAACCAACATCAACACTGCAAGGTTTTTCTGGTAATAAAATCAGATGTACTGCTCAGTTAAGAGTTTAATCCTGTAAAAAAGCAGACGGTTGAGTCACATTGACCACCATAAACCTTCAGCAATAAATCACCCTAATAGGGATGTGCATTAGCATAAGCTGCTAAGCCATTAACTGCAACTGAAATCTCCTGTACTGAAATCCACAATCAAAAATGATATTTCAGCAAGCATTTATAGTGTTTTTGCTGTGACTTCTGTGGTTCTGACTGTATCTCATGCACTACAGTGGAACAAACTCAATTGTGCTTCCTTCTCGACCAAGTCATAAAAGTAGACAAAAACAGTGCCAAAACATAGATTTATAAAAGATCAATTTTACTAGAGTAGATGTTAAAAGATTTCGGACATGTTTCATACTCATTTTGTGAAGCTTCTATGTAGCTGAAACACCAGTGCTGGCCTTTCTATGGCACTTGTCTTGGATGTTAATTCACAAGTGTGGCCACTATTATTACAGAGTTTGAGCATGAATAGTATTGAATGAATTCAAGTCAATTCATGATGTTTCATCTTAATAAACTGGACAAAAGTGATGATGGAAAGGTAAATCAACTACTTTTACAAAATTAGTACCTGTACAGTGTCCTTTACGTAGTTGAACATATATGTACAAATAAATCAGAGAATTCTGTTTTTCTATGAGATACTATGTAAACACAAAATCGTATATTAAACAGTTGATGTAGTGTAAATGGCCTAACAAAGTCTTCATTCTTTCAGCTTTTTAATATTTAATGAATCTTGGCATTAAAGAATTACGGAGCAAACCCTTTGTAAACTGCATGGGAGTGACTCCCAGTGAGAAATAGTGAAATATCATTATATTTTGTCTTAGTATATACACTACCGTTCAAAGGTTTGGGGTCATTGGGTCTTTTTTTTATTATTATTATTTTAAAAGAAATTAACACTTTTATTCAACAGCGATGCATTAAATATATCACAACAGAAAATAGTTATTTTACATTTAAAAAATGTTTCACAACATTGCTGTTTTTGGTCGCAGCGTCTCAAGAATAAGAAACTTTTCAAAAACATTAAAAAAAAAATCTTTCCGACTGTTTTCTGCTAAACAGTGGATCCAGTTTGGCGTATGAAGAAGAGCTGAAGCTCTGGGTTTAGAGAGTGAAAAAAACCCAAAAAACATTACAACTCCTTTGTTGCTCAGGGTGTTGAATATGTATTAGCACAAGTAAAATTAAAATGTTTACTAAGGACACAGACCATTAATCTAAATACTTTAGAATTTAGCAATTAGCGGCAGTTATTCCGTTTGGTCAGGAACCCAGTGTGGTAATGATACTGGAATTCATTGCTGGATAAGTCACAGAAAGATTGTGTTTGTGTCTAGGATGCATTTCAGAGCAATCAAACTGCAACTGAAGGTTTCTGCTGGGCGATCATGGTATTGGGTGTGGTGTCGTGTGCATCTTCTCATTTGTTTGTTTTTGTATGTCTTTTGTTTTCTTTTTCGACAAAATTGTTTTGAATCATGTAGTAGATGTGATTTCTGGATGATGGAGATGAGAATATGTACAACTGAATCATTAAAGTTATTATAGATGACAACCCAGAATTGTCATGTTGGTTTAATTGATGAGTTCTGAAAATTATATAGAAAATCGAACTTTTTTATATATATA